CAGTATAGACTGTGGTCTTGGCTCCCTCTAGGTAACACCTCCATGCCTTGAAGGCTATGACTATCGCTAAGGCTTCCTTGTCGTGAATGGGGTAGTTTAGTTCTGCTCTGTGTAGTTTCTTACAGAGGTAGGCGATAGGCTGCAAACCGCGTCCGTGATCCTGCATCAGTACTGCTCCGACTGCTTGGTCACTAGCGTCTGCTTCCACCACGTAGTCCTTGTCTGGATATGGTAGAATGCATACTGGCGCTGTGGTCAGTGCGGTTTGTAGCTGCTCCATGGCTTGCTGATGAGGAGTATCCCATTTGAAGGGTGTATCCTTTTTCAGTAGGTCGGTCAGAGGCGCTGCAATCCTAGCGTACTGTGGCACGAACCTGTTGTAGTAGTTGGCGAAGCCTAGGAACTGCTGCAACTCCTTCACGTTCTCCGGTACTTTCCACTTTTTGACGGCTTCGATCTTCCGCGGGTCCACGTGTACGCCCTCGGCACTCACCATGTGCCCGAGAAACTGCACCTTCTTCAGGGCGAAGTCGCTCTTCGACAGCTTCACGTAGAACTTGTTTTTCGCAGGATCTCGAACACCTTCCGCAGATGCTCCACGTGCTCCTTCATGTTCTTGGAGTAGATGAGAATGTCGTCCAGGTACACCACCACACACTCGTCCAGCAGGGGTCGTAAGATGTGATTCATCTCGGCCTGAAACGTTGCTGGTGCGTTGCAGAGTCCGAACGGCATCACCAAGTATTCGTAGGAGCCGTATCTGGTACGAAACGCCGTCTTGTGGATCGAGTTGTCCGCCATCTTGATCTGCCAGTAACCCGACCGTAGGTCTAGCTTCGCGAAGACTGTCGCTCCACGCAGTTGGTCCAGTAAGTCGTCGATGCGCGGTATGGGGTATTTGTTTTTTACCGTCTGTTTGTTCAGTGCGCGGTAGTCGATGCACATCCGTAAACTGCCGTCTGGTTTTGGTGTGAAGAGAACTGGTGCGCCGTAGGGGGAGGTGGAGGGTTGGATCAGTTGTCTGTCCAGTAGATACTCGATCTGTTTCTTCATATCTGTCAGTTCGGTCGGACTCAGTCGGTATGGGGCTAGTGAGACAGGTTTCGCACCTGGTTCCTCCACGATCTCGTGCTCGTGGGTGCGTGCTGGAGGTATGCCTGCAGGTAGGTCGTCGGGCATTATATCCTTGTACTGCTCCAAGGCCTCCTTCACTGCTGCAGGTAGCTCCGAACTCGACTTCTCCTCTGCTGCTGCCATAACCAGTGCTAAGTATCCCGTGTTACTCTCGTTCACAGTCCGTTCGAACCGTGCCAGTGTCGTTTCAGGAACGCTCCTTGTATCCGTCCAGCTTCGCAGCTCCACTCGTTTCCCGTTGTTGTAGATGCACGCCTTCCTGTTGACCCAGTCGATCTCGGGGTTGAACTGCTTCAAGAAATCTCGCCCCAAGATGAAGTCTAAACCCTTGATGTTCGTGATCGGCAACGTCGGCTTCCACCTCAGCGCCCCTATGTGTAGCTGCAGTGATGCTTTGCTGTGGATGGGAAGTTTCGTACCGTCCACCATTGTTGCCGAGAACTTGGTCTCCTCCGAAGATTCTCCAATTTTCTCCAACGTCCTGCGGTCGCACACCGAGTGAGATGCACCGCTGTCCACCAGTGCCTGGAGGCGTCGCCCGTTGCAGATCACCTCGAGTAGTAGTGGTTGTTGCTGCTCCGAGTAACCGTAGATGGTCTCGCTTATAGGATCGTAGGGTATGTCAAATAGATCATCCCTCGGTCCTGCGCTCGAAGCTGCTGACTCCATATCAGTTTCCAACTGAGTAGGGTTGGAAGGATTTATTCGAGGCCGATTCAGCTTCGTCTTGGCCTGGAACCTTCCCTTAAGCCTTTGCAGCTGTGTAGGCTTCTCCTGTGGGCAATGGGGAGCCTTAACACTATGCTGCGGGGAGAGAATATGAACTCCTTGGAACGCACGACCCTTTTCAACGCTCCGTAGTGGTTTGCCCAACTTCTCAGGTACCTGAATAATGTCTGAAGGCTTTTTCTTGGCCTTGAAATCTACCCTGCATTTTTTAAAGGCTTGAAAACCACGAGAAGCAATATTCTTCGTTAGAGCATCTTTGTAGGATACTTTTAACGAATTCTTACTTTCGTGGGTGTTCGGCTGGAGTTTCCCGGTCGGTGCAGAGTCTTTTTTCGCGGAGCCTCTATTCGCCTCGGCGATTTCCCCTGGTGCCGGCCGGTCGTGACGTTTTATATTCGCGCCATCATTTTCTCCTTTTTTCGCCCGCTCCGAAGTCGCCACGTCGTCGCCCTTTTTCGCTTTTCGGATCTTTACGCGATCGCCAGTTCGATCCGCTGCTACTGGCGATTCCCGTTTTTTTACTTCGGGGGTGCTCCACTGTTACCGTCCTGCATGATCGCACGTACTTTCTTCAATTTGTAGCACGACAAAATCTGATGCCCTGCTGCGCCGCAAAATTCGCATTTGGTCGGCTGCCGCTTCGCGTCGAATTTGTCGATATCCATCGGTTCGGCGAACGTGGGGGGTGCCGATCGCTCCGTGCCGAATGTAAGGTTCGGCGTGAAACGTCGTGTTTCGGGTTGACTTCGGGTCAGCGCGTCGTAACGCTCGGCTGCACGCACGATGTCCTTGTAGCTTTCGTGATTTGACGCGATCACCTGCCGCTGAACCCCCAATTTTAACCCTTCTGTATATGCCGTGATTTTTTCGCCTTCGGTCAGGTCGGGGATGCGGGTGAACAGGAGCTCCATCTGCTGCGTGTACTGCGCTACACTACCATACTGCTTGTGCCGATGAATTTGTTGCCGCACCATATAGGTAGTATTAACCGGTTCGAAACGCCCGATAAATTCTGCCCGAAACTGCTGCCACGTTTTCTCCCCGCGGGCCACGTCAGTGTTGTAGATCCACTCGAGTGCTGGTCCGCGTAGCAGTGTTGCTGCGAGCCGGATTCGTGTTGCGTCGTATGTCGGGGTCGAACAACCAATGGCCTCGAAGTAGATCTCGAGGATTGCCACGAAACGCCAGACGTCGGATCCCTTTGCGCTTGGATTGAACGCTTCCGGGAGCCTCGGTCGTGCTGCTTCGAGGTTCGGCGTTGGTGGTGCCATTGGGCCGTGAAATATCGGTGTCGCCACTGCTAATGGAATTGTCGGTGCTGCAGTGGTTGCAGTCGCTGTTGCTGTCGTGGCGAGCGCCGGGTGGCTTGTTAAAAAGGCCTCAAGTCGACGAAGCGTCGCCTGCGTCTGCTCCATGTCGGTGCGGAGGCTCGCGACGTCGCTCGTGGTCGCGTAGTTGTCGCCACTGCTGTTGGAATTGTCACCGTTTTCCTCCATTTGGCGAGTTATAGGAAGATTTGCGACGAAAATAAATGAATTTCAGGCGCTGGTCATCTTACTGTGAGTCGAGTTGACTGCAGAAATTACAAGGCTTTTTTCTGTAGGTCGCGTTATTCTCCCTTAATCGAAACTCGCGTCTGATCTCGGCCGTTGAGAAGAAATTCGATCCAACGCTCCAAACTCCAACTTTTTTGGGCGAAATTCTCAGGGCCGTTGAGATTCGTATCGATCCGACGGTCGAAATTCCAACTTTTTCGCTACTGGACCTGAGGAGTGTTCAAAAACCGGTTCGAGGGGGACGTTAGAAAATGGCGCGGAACTAGTTTTACATACCCGTATCGGCGCTTTCGATGTCGCCCCCGCGGTTTTTTAAAGGCCGGAACTAAGCGGTTGAAGACCTCGCGTGTAAACCCGCTCTGATTACCAAGTGTGAGGATATAGGATCGAGCTCAGAAAAGAGAATCGAATTGAATGGAATTAAATTGAATCGAATTGAATTGAATTGAATGATCACCTGGGTACAACGCGAGGCTATATATAGGCTCGACACAAAGCCCCGTAACCAGGTGTTACGCGAAGGTTCTGCGGGTCGCGTAGCGTCCCGAACAGACCCTTACCGAATTCGGTAGAAGGCAATTCGGTGGCAACCGAAAAGGCCAGAATTCGGTGCACGCAACCTAGCTCGGTGCTATAACTATAATAAAATATAGAAAAGCACCTAGCCTAGGAAATCAAGCAATTCATGCATGCATATGATTATCCTATGCTAGAAATAGCATAATAAAGTAAAGGCAAGCAAGCATAGCTGGCATAAGCGGTCGTACTCTCACAATACCTTACTACAACCAAGCCCCATCCATAGCCGAGCCAGCTACCACTGCTAGAGTGAGAATATTGGATAGGATAGGATTGCCTTGTGGTAGGAACTTTGTGCATAGTGAATCTATATGACAAGATTGATTAAAACATAAAATTACACACACTATGTAGATAAAACTAGCCATGTATTCTGAGGGGTACATTCCCTTATTCTAACTGTTTTACTCGCAGTTCTACAGTGACTCTGACTATTGCTCTTCTTCTTTGTTATCGAGTCGATGCGTGTAAATGTGAAATCAAAGAACAGGGATGAATGAACTATGAAATATGTGAGTACAAGTACCAACCCTAATTGGGTTGTACCCCCTATGGGATACCCCACTATAGCCTACACAAAAGCATAAGCTATATCCGAGCACAAGGTCAAGGCCACAAGCAAGAGCAGGTATATATATATATGCAAGAGTACAAGCAAGGTCAAGAGGTGAGCAAGTGAGGTAGGACAGGTACAAGTCCCAGTTGAGTGCAGAAGCGCTGATGATAACAAGGCGGAAGTGCCTTGGTGAAAACATCAGCAATGTTGGCCTCAGAGGCCACGTACGCAAGTCGCAACTGACCACGCTGCTGTAGCTCACGAGCAAGGAAGTAACGGAGAGCAATGTGCTTCGTTCTGTGCTCCAAACGCTGCTCTCGACACAAGGCCAGCATGGCCTTGTTGTCTACGTACAGCACTGGAGGAGAACGAGGCACCTCTCCAAGGTCAGTCAGCAGGTAGGTGAGCCAACGAAGCTCCTGTGCAGCCATGGCCCCGGCGTAGATCTAAGCCTCACAACTGGAGCCAAGAACAGAAGATGAGCGAGTAGCCCGCCAAGAGATAGAGCCAGAGCCAAGACTGAAGGTGTACCCCTGCGACGACCGCTGCGTAGCCTGGTCGTCAGCCCAAGACGCGTCCGCGTGACCAGTGAGGACCACTGGACTCCGCCCTCCAAGCACTAGCCCCATGCCCGACGTACTGCACAAGTAGCGCAACACCCTCTTCGCTGCAGCCATGTGCTCCGGTCGGTGTCTCCCAGGAGCAACATAGCGTGCAAGAATGCTAAGAGGGTATGCAAGGTCAGGTCGTGTGCAGGTCATCAGGTACATGAGGCAGCCAACAAGCTCTGGGTACGGGCCACTCGACTCTACGGACTCATCCGAAGGCAGAGCTGAGAGCGAGTGGCGATTAGCCGGAGGAGTGGCCTGAGGCGAGGAGTACGTGAAGCCGAAGCGCTGAAGGACCTGCTGCACCATGTGTGACTGAGTCAAGGTAATGGTGCGGCGTGCTCTGTCCCGATTGATCTGCAAGCCAAGGTAGCTGCGCAGTTCACCCAGGTCTGTGCACGTGTGTCTCTTCAGCAGCTCGGACTTCACGTAGGCGAATCCAGCAGTGTTAGCAGTGGCAAAGACTAAGTCGTCAACGTACACGAGGATGTAGAACGGCGGCAGAGAAGTGTCGGTGCGCAGAAACAACGACGGGTCAGCAGTAGAGGGAGCAAACCCAAGAGCCGCAAGCGTAGTCCTCAGTGTGTCGTGCCACTGACGCGGTGCCTGGCGGAGACCGTAGACTGGCCGTCGGAGGCTCCACTGGGTGCCAGGAGGGAAAGTCCCAGTGAAGCCAGGTGGACGGCGCAGCCAGATCTCCTCATGCAGGCTGCCTTGCAAGAAAGCAGTGCTGAAGTCAAGAGAGTGAAGCTCGTAGTCGCGCTGAGCGGCTATGTGCAGCAGCACCCGAAGAGTGGTCATCTTCGGGGTGGGAGAGAAGGTCTGAAAGTAGTCAACTCCCTGCCGCTGACTGAAGCCACGAGCGACGTACCGCGCCTTGAAGACAGGTGGAGAGCCAGGCGACCGCTTCACCCTGAAGATCCACATGCCACTAACAATGTTCGCCCCAGGAGTGGGAACCTCGTCAACGTAGGTGCCTGTGGACTTCCAGGAAGCCATCTCTGCATCCATAGCTGCCTGCCAGTGAGAAGAGTAGGGACCCTCTACAGCCTCCGCGTAAGAACGCGGAGTAGGGATGTCTAGCGCATCCGGGTCTCCCTCAGGGGCAAGCAGTACAGACGCGAGATGAGGTGAAGCAGCAGCCAGACACTGGAACTCCTCCTGCCTGTCCTCAAGGACGTCCGTGCCAAGAGCACACTCACCCCTGACGGACGGAGGACAGACAGACGCAGACTCAGCAACAAGACTGGCAGCGTAGTCTAGACGACAGCGAGCAGCAAAGTCGACGAGCTCAGTAACAAGAGCAGACGCAGCAGTGGACTCAAAAGAGGGGTCAGTGACAACAGTAGCAAGAAGACGCGTGACAGTAGGACTGGCAGCACCAAGAGAGTCCGACTCCGGGTCGGCAATTGCAGGAAGAGAAGACTCAGGAGGAGAAGGCAAAGGTGCACGTAGAGGAGCAGTGGACGGACGCAGAGACATCCGGTGCGTGCCAGGGACAGGAGGAGGACGCTGACGCGAACCGCGACCACTAGTGCGAGAAGCACGAACAGGCGACGCAGGACGAGACGCAGGCTCACGACGCTCAGCAAGACCTCCAGTAGGACCAGTGTAAGGAGAGGGAGCAGGCAGTGGGGAGGCGGGCTCTAACAGTGACTGGGACGGGACAGGCGGTGGACACTCAACCGAAGGAGAAGACCAAGAACCTGCTGCAGGAGTAGAACGAAGTACGGCCGAGGCCGCGCGGGGACTCCTGCCACAGCAGGGACAGCACCAGCACCCTCAGCGGCAGCACCAGCGCCAACAGCACCTCCAGCGGCAGGACCTCCAGCCGCACCAGCAGCAGGACCACCGCCAGGACAGAGAGCAGTAGTCTCAGCACCAACACCCTCAGCAGCTCCAGCTCCAGTAGGACCCGCAGGCCCAGCAGCTCCGGGACCGGCGGCACCAGCACCCTCAGCGGCAGAAGAAGCTCCAGCACTAGTAGTACGCCTCCAGCGGCGAGCAAACCACTCACGCAGCTCCTGTGGAGAGAGCGGCTCCCGCCGAGACGGAGCACCCGGAGAACCTCCAGGCCCAGCACCGCCAGACGCCACTAGGGGAGGTCCAGCGTCCGCAGGCTCCGCACCGCCAGGCTCACCAGCTCCTGACGTAGCACCCCCAGACTCAGCAACCCCAGGCACAGCAGCTCCAGACGCAGCACCCCCAGGCTCGGCACCCCCAACCTCAGCACCCCTAGGCTCGTCACCCCCAGGCTCAGCACCCACGCGCACAGCACCCCCAGAGTCAGCACCCCCAGGCTCAGCACCCGCAGCAGGACCAGAGTAACCAGCAACCTCGACCGGCTCGACTGCGTCAACCTGGGACACACCTGAAGGGGCAGGAACCTAAGGGGGGAGGGGGTCTACCGGGGGGGACCTGGCACAAGGAAGTCCGGTGGCGGGGGGAGGGAAGGAGTGCGGTAGGGGAAGAGGCGGTAGAAGGGGACTGACTCGTCGAACGTGACGTCCTGGGAAGACAGAACACGACGAGAGGAGGGGTGGTAGAACTGCCACCCTGGAGCGTCAGGGGGGAAGCCAAGGAAGACACAGGGAGCAGCACGGGGGGACAGTTTGTCCGCAGACAAGTCGCGGACAAACGCCCGAGATCCCTAGACACGGAACGCAGACGCATCGCCGACCTTCCCAGTCCACAGGAGGGCTGGGGAGGTGCGGAACTTCCCCGGCCGGGAAACCCCGGGGTGAAGGTTGATCTGATGCGCCGCGTACCCGTACCGCAAACGGCCCTAGAAAATGGGGGGCAGCCGCATGCATCATGGACGTACGGGCGACGTCCATGACCATGCCAATGCGGCGCTCAGCAATCCCATTTTGCTGTGGAGAGTCTGGAAGCGTGAAGGTCTGGCGGATGCCCTGTGCACGACAGTAGGCTCGCAGAAGGCCAGAGGAAAACTCTCCGCCTCGGTCAGAGTGCAGACGCAGAACCGGAAAGTCCGAGCCGAAGCTCCTCCTGAGCTGGAGACAAGCCTCGCGGATCCAGTCGATCAACACCTCAGTGACATCACCCTTGCTGCGCAAGGGGAAGACTGTGGTGAAACGCGAGTAGTCGTCAACCACCAGGAGAAAGTAGCGCTCGTGACCCTGTCCACGGACGCGGGCCGGGCCCCACACGTCCATGTGAAGCGTTTGTAGAGGTGCCTCTGTCGGAGGAAACTGTGAGGAGTGGGGGGCAGCCCGGAGGCGCCCCTCGACACAGGGGACACAGGAAGGTCCTGGCCCCGAAGGAAGGGAAGGGAGAGACCGGGGAAGACAAGAGACAAGGACACGGGAAGCCATGTTCCTGATACGGGGCAAGGAGGGGTGGCCAAGACGGTGGTGCCACAGGAGAGTCTCGTGAGACAGGAGGTGACACGAGCAGGGGGCAGACTCAAGACCAGACCTGGACGCAGCAGCAAACACCTGACCCGACGCAGCTACCTGGCCAGACACAGGGACAGGAGGAGACTCAGTGGTCAGGGTGTAGAGGCTCGACCCCGGCCGATGGGAGAACGTGGCCAGGTGCCGACCTGTGCGCGCGTCCGTGCACTGGGTCACCCGCTGACTCGCAGGACTAAACTGGTGAACCCCCGCATCCTGTAGGGCAGCACCACTCACCAAGTTCGTCGAGATCGAGGGGAGGTACAGACCAGACAGGGCGCCCGAGGGGGCAGCTGGACACGGTAGGACAGTGGAGAAGTGAGAGAGGACAGGACCCCCAGAGGGGTCAGCCAGGGAGACCGCAACCGGCCGGCCAAGCGGCATGAGTGTGGTGCGGTCCCGAAAGAAGGAGCGAGAAGCCCCAGAGTCAAGTGTAAAGGTGAGGGAGGCCGAAGCCGATGTGGTACCTGAGAGCGCAGCCTCACCAGTACCTGAGAGCGCAGCCTCACCAGTACCTGAGAGCGCAGCCTCACCAGCACCTGAGAGCGCAGCAGTGTCACACGCACCTAGCGCAACCGTACCAATGCCCGGGTCGGGCGAGAAACACCGGTAACAGTCACCCTCATCACTAATAGACACATCATACATGGCAGCAAGGATAGCATCAAAGTCTAGCTCAAAGATCGCTACACCAACTCTAGAAAGGTCTCCCCAGCGGTGGATCTCAGAAGCGTCAGGGAACTGCTGACGCCAAGCGTCCGTCAGGCGGCCAAAGCAGCGCCGGGTGGAGTGGGCACCCCCACACTGCTCACCCGCGCGGTCGCTGCTGCGAAGAACGTAGGTGCACGGGCAACGTAGGTGCACGGGCTAAAGCCTCCACCACGCTGACTCTGTGTGTACCACTCACGGAGCTGCTGAGGCGTGGGGACGTCCCGAGCACGCTGCTGCTGCTGCTGCCGCAGACCACCACCAGAGCCGCTCCGCTGCGGGGCACTACCCCGACCAGCTCCACCTCCTCCGCCACCACCGCCTCCACCTCCGCCACTACCACCGCCTCCGCTCCCACCGCCTCCGCCGCCACCACCTCCGCCGCCACTGCCGCCGCCACCGCCACCACTCCCGCCACCACTCCCACCGCCACCCCCACTCCCTCCGCCGCCTCCACCGCCACCTCCACCGCCCCTGCCAGCTCCACTCGCGCCCTTGCCCCCCTTGCCCTTGCCAGGGCGGCGTCTCCCGCTAGGGGCAGACGCCGCGCCGACCGACTCAAGACCAAGCAGGTCGGCAGCAGCAGCAGAGGCAACATAGGGCAGCAGGGGGGAAGGAGAACACCCCTCAAAGATGGGGGTGCGCGGGTCACCACGAGAGGCTCCTACAGCGACTATGCTCTTCTCCGCCGCTAGGAGGGCCTTCTCGAGGAGGTCGACAGTGAGGGTGGTGGGACAGACTGAGAGGAAGTGGTCCCTGACTACGCGAAGGGAGTCAGGGAGACGAGTGACTATGTAATAGAGAGTGATGTACATGGGGGGGGGTTCTTGGCGCAGAACTCAACAGGAAGGGCGGCGCGGTAGCGAGTGTCACTAGTGCGGAGGTGCGTAATGAGGTCAGCGACAGTAGGAAAGGCAGTGAGATCAGGAAAGAGGTACGGTAGCGTGAGACGGCTCAGTGCAGCAGTGGCAGGGGAAGAGTAGCGCGCAATGACAGCGTCGTACAAGGTCTGAGCACTCTTGTACTGACTAAAGTGCGCGCGCTCAGTGGTGGGCAAGTGGCGACGCACAGCAAGACGTGCAGCAGCATCGCGGGTGGCCCACTAAGAGCGAACAGTGGGGTCAGCATCAGCATCAGGGGCAGGAGAGGCGCCAGAGGTGAGGTCAAAGAGGGAAAGGCCGTCAGCTCTATCGCACTGTAAGAACAGCTGCAGGTCGTCGACCCAGACCTCAAAGTCAATGGCTCGACCCTCAGCGTCAAAAGTGAGGACACTGGGGGTAGCCATGACGACGACAGTGGAGCAGTGCAAGCAGTAGGGGAAGGGCACGCAGTGACAGCGGTACGGTGCTCACCGGGCAGGGCAGGTCGGGCGGCTCGGCTGCTGCTGGGCGGCTCGGCGGCTCCTGGGCGGCTCGGCTGCTCCTGGGCGGCTCGGCTGCTGCTGGGCGGCTCGGCTGCTCTTGGAAGGTTGCCCGGCGGCTCGGCGGCTCCTGGGCGGCTCGGCTGCTGCTGGGCGGCTCGGCTGCTGGTGGGCTGCTCGGTGGCTCCTGGGCGGCTCAGCTTCTGCTGGGCGGCTCGGCTGCTGCTGGGCGGCTCGGCTGATGCTGGGCGGCTCGGCCGCTGCTGGGCGGCGCGGCTGATGCTGGGCCGCGTAGGTAGGGCGGCTGGGCCGTGAAGGTAGGGCGGCGGCTGGGCCGCAGGTAGGGCGGCGGGTGGGCCGCAGGTAGGGCGGCGGGTGGGCCGCAGGTAGGGCGGCGGGTGGGCCGCAGGTAGGGCGGCGGGTGGGCCGCAGGTAGGGCGGCGGGCAGGCCGCAGGTAGGGCGGCGGACGGCCGCAGGTAGGGCGGCGGGTGGTCCGCAGGTAGGGCGGCGGGTGGGCCGCAGGTAGGGCGGCGGGGCCGCGACGTCAGGGCGGCGGGGCCGCGACGTCAGGGCGATGGGGCCGCAAGGGAAGGGCGGCGGGGCCGCAAGAGCAGAGGCGGCGGGGCCGCGAGAAAAGGGGCGGCGGGGCCGCGATCAAGGGGCGGCGGGGCCGCGATCAGGGGGCGACGGGGCCGCTCAGGTGAAGGCAGCGGGGCCGCTCAGGTGAAGGGCGGCGGGGCCGCGATCAAGGGGCGGCGGGGCCGCGATCAAGGGGCGGCGGGGCCGAGAGAGTAGGGGCGGCGAGGCCGCGATGTAAGGGCGGCGGGGCCGCAAGAGGGTAGGGCGGCAGGGCCGCGATCGTAGGGTCGGCCGCTAGGGTGGCTCGGTGAGAGAAAGGCCCGAGGCGCGACTCGGAACGAGGGCGCTTCGGGCAGGAAAAAAAAAAAATCGAGTGGTGGGCCCTAGGCGAAGTTCCCACAGGGGAACCTGCTCTATACCATGTGAAATCAAAGAACAGGGATGAATGAACTATGAAATGTGTGAGTACAAGTACCAACCCTAATTGGGTTGTACCCCCTATGGGATACCCCACTATAGCCTACACAAAAGCATAAGCTATAAGTTCTGACAGTAACCGTATGGACGGTTACGCCTGTTGCCATTCATCACTGGTGAGTCGTTCGGTCCAAATGGTAAACAATCGCGACAGTTGACCTTTTGCGATTGTTGACCTTCCTGTCCTTGTTACGGGCTGATCCAATACTGCTGTTGGTGCTGTTTCGATAGTGACGGGTGCGATAGCACTACACCTACAGGAATGCGTAAGTCGGTTCTCTTCACACTCCAACACTCCCCTTCATTCCTTGAGGTGCGCCACGTGGCTCTTTCGGACGACTCCGCACAAGTTTGGGTAGTTCTAGAACTTATGACTTGGCAGTTTCTTTGTCAGAAAGTCAGCTACCATTTTGCCAGTTGGGCAATTGGTGAGCTGGACCTTCCAATTGTCGATTTGTCTTTCACAAAGACGTAACACAGGGCGATGTGTTTTGTGTGAGAATTAGAACGAGAATGATTGAACTATGAAACAGTTTGGTACAAGTACTAGCCCTAACTTGGTTGTACCCCTTATGGGCTACCCCACTACAGCCTACACAAATGTATAAGCTATAATGTTCGAACACACCCCCATAGGCAAAGTGGGGGAGAACAAGTGGTCACAAGACCAGTCAAGCAAAGCAAAGCAAGCTCATGGTGGATCACAAAGTAACCACACAGTCCGAGCACAAGAGTAAGGTCACAAGGCCAGTTCACATGCAAGATCATATATATAAAGGTAAACAAGCAAGTGCAGGTATAGAAAGAGTACAGTACAAACAAGATCAAGAAGTGAGCAAGTGAGGCCAAGTAGGCACAAGACCTAGCAAAGTACACAAGCACTGATGATCACAAGGCGGAAGGGCTTTGGTGAAGATATCAGCAGTGTTGGCCTCAGAGGCCACGTAGGTGAGGCGGAGCTGACCACGCTGCTGCAGCTCACGAGCCAGGAAGTAGCGGAGAGCGATGTGCTTCGTTCTGTGCTCCAGTCTGTGCTCCCGACACAAGGCCAGCATGGCCTTGTTGTCTACGTACAGCACTGGAGGAGAACGAGGCGGCTCTCCTAGGTCAGTCAGCAGGTAGGTGAGCCAGCGTAGCTCCTGTGCAGCCATGGCCCCTACGTAGATCTCAGCCTCACAGCTGGAGCTGAGAACAGAAGACGAGCGGGTAGACCGCCACGAAACAGAGCCGGAGCCAGGGCTGAAGGTGTAACCCTATGACGACCGCTGCAGAGCCTGGTCGTCAGCCCAAGAAGCGTCTGCGTGACCTGTGAGGACCACTCGACGTCGCCCTCCAAGCACTAGCCCCATGCCCGATGTACTGCACACGTAGCGCAACACCCTCTTCGCTGCAGCCATGCGCTCTGGTCGGTGTCTCCCAGGAGCAACATAGCGTGCCAAGATGCTAAGAGGGTATGCAAGGTCAGGTCGTGTGCAGATCATCAGGTACATGAGGCAGCCAACAAGCTCTGGGTACGGGCCACTCGACTCTACGGACTCATCTGAAGGCAGAGCTGAGAGCGAGTGGCGAGTAGACAGAGGAGTGGCCTGAGGCAAGGAGTACGTGAAGCCGAAGCGCTGAAGGACCTGCTGCACCATGTGTGACTGAGTCAGGGTAATGGTGTGCTGTGCTCTGTCCCGGGTGATCTGCAAGCCAAGGTAGCTGCGCAGTTCACCCAGGTCTGTGCACGTGTGTCTCTTCTGCAGCTCGGACTTCACGTGGGCGAGTCCAGTAGTGGCAGCAGTGGCAAAGACCAAGTCGTCGACGTACACGAGGATGTAGAACGGCGGCAAAGAGGTGTCGGTGCGTAGAAACAGCGACGGGTCGGGTGTAGAAGGAGCAAACCCAAGAGCCGCAAGTGTAGTCCTCACTGTGTCGTGCCACTCACGGGTGACAAAATTAGAAGAAAGAAAGAGGAAAGAGGGTTGAACTAGCAAGAATGAGGATACAAATAGCAAACCCTAGAAGGGTTGTACTCACTATAGAGCACCCCACTACAGGCTAGAACATAAGATAATATTCTGACACACCCCCATAGCCAAAGTGGGGTGTAATCAGCAGAGCAGGCAAAGCAGTACAAGCTCAGGGTGGATCACAATGTCACCACACAATCTGAGCACAAGTTCAAGAAGAAATAGTTTAGAGTTTATAATTATGAGCAAAGCTAGTGGTAGTCACAACGGGCAAGTGAGGAGGAGGAGAGAGAGTGAGGGGAGAGGAGATAGGAGGCGACGGCTGAAGCTGTAGACACACGGGCAACAGGAGGCAGACTGGCACAGCGGCTACCGGACTAAGCGCCCGGACTACAGGAGTAACAGGCCCCGCGGCTAAAGTAGCGGCAGACGAGCAACGGACCCACGGGCGGCTGGCGTAGAAGTCTAGCTCACTGGGCTACCGGGACAGCGCCCCGGACTACAGGTGCTGCGGACAACAATACGGGAACCTCCATGCAGCTTCCCCAAACAGTCCCACCCCCCCGACACACACCCGCTGCTACACCGCTAGCTCCACTCCCACGAACCCCCCTTAAACCCTAAACCCCAGTCTCCCACACAACCACCCCCCTCAGCGACAGCTGCAGCAGTGGGAGACGAAGGAGGAGGAGGAGCAAAGGGAGGAATGCACACCGACCACCCCCATACCGGCCCCCTCAGGTCGCCTCGACGGGCGACGGGAAATGGCGGGGGGAGGGGGGGGGGGGGGGGGGCGGGGCCGCGACAGGTCGGTAGCGGGGCCGCGACAGAAGGGGCGGCGGGGCCGTGACAGGTCGGTGACGGGGCCGCGATAGGTCGGTGGCGGGGCCGCGACCGAACGTGGCGGGGCCGCGAAGGAAAGCGGCGGGGCCGCGAGAGTGGGGCGGCGGGGCCGCGACGGGTCCCCGTCGCCCGTCGCAGTGCCTCCCGAGGGCGACGCGTGGGTCGACGGGGCGGAAGCCCGCCGCGCGCCTCGGGGCGCACAGCGGGCAGAGAACCGCCACGCGCCTCGGGGCGCACGGCGGGCAGAAAACCGCCGCGCGCCTCGGGGCGCACGGCGGGAAGAAAAAATGCCGCACGCCACGGGGCGTGCGGCTCAGAGAGTAGTAGCACTAGTAGCAGCGGAAGCTATGCGGTGGTAAGCCCACCCACAGGATCGATCCAAGGGGATCGACCTGCTCTGATAGCATGACAAAATTAGAAGAAAGAAAGAGGAAAGAGGGTTGAACTAGCAAGAATGAGGATACAAATAGCAAACCCTAGAAGGGTTGTACTCGCTATAGAGCATCCCACTACAGGCTAGAACATAAGATAATATTCTGACAACGGGGCACCTGGCGGAGACCGTAGACTGGCCGCCAGAGGCTCCACTGGGTACCAGGAGGAAACGACCCAGTGAAGCCAGGAGGGCGGCGCAGCCAGATCTCCTCGTGCAGGCTGCCCTGCAGGAAAGCTGTGCTGAAGTCAAGAGAGTGAAGCTCGTAGCCGCGCTGAGCGGCTATGTGCAGCAGCACCCGAAGAGTGGTCATCTTCGGGGTGGGAGAGAAGGTCTGAAAGTAGTCAACTCCCTGCCGCTGACTGAAACCTCGAGCCACGTAACGCGCCTTGAAGACAGGCGGAAAGCCAGGCGCCCGCTTCACCCTGAAGATCCACATCCCACTGACGATGTTCGCCCCAAGTGGGGGAACCTCGTCGACGTAGGTACCTGTGGACTTCCAGGAAGCCATCTCTACGTCCATGGCTGACTACCACCGAGAGGAGTAGGGACCCTCGATCGCCTCAGCGTACGATCGAGGAGTCGGGATGTCTGGTGCATCCGGGTCTCCCTCAGGGGCAATCAGCGTGGACACGAGATGGGGCAAAGCAGCAGCAAAGCACTAGAACTCCTCCTGCCTGTCCTCAAGGACGTCCGTGCTAAGAGCACACTCACCCCCGACGGACGGAGGACAGACAGACTCAGACTCAGCAACGAGATTGGCAGCGTAGTCTAGACGACAACGAGCAGCGAAGTCGACAAGCTCAGCAACTAGGGCAGACGCAGCAGTGGACTCAAAGGAAGGGTAAGTGACAACAGTAGCAAGAAGGCGCGTGACGGAAGGACTAGCAGCACCAAGCGAGTCAGACCCCGGGTCAGCAAGAGTAGGAAGAGAGGACTCTGGAGGAGACGGCAACGGGACACGTAGAGGAGCAGTGGAAGGACGCATTGCCATCTGGTGTGTGCGGAGGACCGCAAGAGGACGCGGACGCGCAGCACGACGACTAGTGCGAGTAGCACAAACAGGCGATGCGGGACGAGACATAGGCTCACGACGCTCAGCAAGACCTCCAGTAGGGCCAGTATAGGGAGAAGGAGCAGGTAGAGGGGAGGCGGGCTGTAACTGTGACTGCGACTGGACAGGCTGTAGACACTCTAAGGAAGGAGCAGGACTAGTAGAGGGCGGGAGACCAAGAACCTGCTCCAGGAGCGGAACGAAGTACGGCCTCGGCCGCTCAGCACCTCCAGAACCAGCAAGGACGGTACCAGTACCCCCAGTGGCAGCACCAGCGCCAGCAGCACCTCCAGCTCCACCAGCGCCAACTCCAGCACCCTCAGAAGCACTAGCGTCAGCAGCACCACCAGCCCCAACACCCCCAGCAGCTCCAGCTCCAGCAGCACCAACTCCAGTAGAACCGTCAGCTCCAGCAGCCTCAGCAGCACTCCCAGACGCACCAGCGCCAGTAGAAACACCAGCGCCAACACCCCCAGCAGCTCCAGCTCCAGCAGCACTAGTACCGCCAGCAGCTCCTGCAAGACCAACTCCAGTAGCCCCAGCAGCACCCCCAGTCTCAGCAGCACGTCTCCAGCGGCGGGGAAACCACTCGCGCAGCTCCGGTGGAGAGAGTGGCTCCCGCCTCGACGAATCACCGCCGGCGGCCACACGAGCAGACTCAGCGCCCCCTGGCTCGGCACCCCCAGGCTCCGCACCTCCAGGCTCCGCACGCCCAGGCTCCGCACCCCCAGATCCAACACCCCCAGGCTCAGCACCCCCAGACTCAGCACCCCCAGTCTCAGCACCCCTAGTCTCAGCACCCCCAGACCCAGCACCCGCAGGCTCCGCACCTCTAGCAGCACCAGAGTCAACAGCTACCTCGACAGGCTCGACTGCGTCTACCTCGGACACACCTGACAGGGCAGGACCCTGAGGGGAGAGGGGGTCTACCGGGGGAGGACCTGGTGCAAGGAAGAGCGGCGGTGGGGGGAGAGGCGCAGTGCGGTAGGGGAAGAGACGGTAGTAAGGCACCGACTCGTCAAACGTGACGTCCTGGGAGGACAGAACACGGCGCGAGGTGGGGTGGTAAAACTGCCACCTAGGCGCATCTGGGGGGAAGCCAAGGAAGACGCAGGGAATAGCACGGGGGGACAGCTTGTCCGCAGACAAGTCGCGCACAAACGCCCGAGATCCCCAGACCCGAAACGCAGACGCATCGCCAACCTTCCCGGTCCACCGCAAGGCGGGGGAGGTCTCGGGCAAGGAGACCTGGGGCTGAAGGTTGAGCTGATGCACGGTGTACTGAACCGCAAACGGCCACAGAAAATGGGGGGCAGCCGCATGCATCATGGACGTACGAGCGACGTCCATGACCATGCCAATGCGGCGCTCAGCAATCCCATTTTGCTGTGGAGAGGTCAGAAGCGTGAAGGTCTGGCGGATGCCCTGCGCACGACAGAAGGCTTGCAGAAGGTCAGAGGAAAACTCTCCGCCTCTGTCGGAGTGCAGAGTTCAGGGTTTAGGGTTTTGGTCACAGGAAAACTCTCCGCCTCTGTCGGAGTGCAGGACCCTGAGGGGGGAGGGGGTCTACCGTGGAGGGACCTGGCGCAAGAAAGAGCGGCGGCGGGGGGAGGGGCGCAGTGCGGTAGGGGAAGAGACGGTAGTAAGGCACCAAGTCGTCAAAGGTGACGTCCTGGGAGGACAGAACACAGCGCGAGGTGGGGTGGTAAAATTGCCACCCAGGCGCGTCAGCGGGGAAGCTAAGGAAGACGCAGGGAACAGCACGGGGGGACAGCTTGTCCGCGGACAAGTCGCGGACAAACGGCCGAGATCCCCGGACCCGAAACGCAGACGCATCGCCAACCTTCCCCGTCCACCACAAGGTGGGGGAGGTCTTTGGCAAGGAGACCCGGGGCCTAAGGTTGAGCAGATGCGCTGCGTACTGAACCGCAAACGGCCACAGAAAATGGGGGGCAGCCGCATGCATCATGGACGTACGAGCGACGTCCATGATCATGCCAATAAGGCGCTCTTTAATCCCATTTTGCTGTGGAGAGGCCGAAAGCGTGAAGGTCTGGCGGATGCCCTGCGCATGACAGAAGGCTCCCAGACGGTCAGAGGAAAACTCCCCGCCTATGTCAGAGTGCAGACGCAGAACACGAAAGTACGAGCCGAAACTCTCTCTGAGCTGGAGACGAGCTGCGCGGATCCAGTCGATCAACACCTCAGTGATGTCACCCTTGCTGTGCAAGGGGAAGACTGTGGTGTAACGCGAGTAGTTGTCAGCCACCAGCAGAAAGTACCGCTCGCGCCCCTGCCCACTGACGCGGGCTGGGCCCCACACGTCCATGTGGAGAGTCTCCAGCGGAGCCTCTGTCGTAGGAAACTCGGAGGAGTGAGGGGCGGCGCGCTGTCGCCCCTCGACGCAGGGGACGCAGGTAGGGGCAGGCCCCGGAGGTAGGGGAGGGAGAGACTGAGGGAGACCAGAGACAAGGACACGGGAGGCCATGCCTCGGAGACAAGGCAGGGAGGGGTGACCAAGGCGGTGGTGCCGAAGGAGAGTCTGGTGGGGCAGCAGACGACACGAGCAGGGAGCAAACTCAGGACCAGACCTGGACGCTGCAGCAAACACCTGACTCGACGCAGCTACCTGGGCAGACTCAGCAGTCGGAGGAGACTCAGTAGTAAGGGTGTACAGGCTCGACCCTGGCGGACCGGTGAACGTGGCCAAGTGTCGGCCTGTCCGAGCACACGAGGAGTGGGTCACTCCCTGACTCGCAGGAGTGAACTGGTCAACCCCCCTATCCTGTGGGTCCGCTCCACTCACCAAGTTCGTAGAGATCGAGGGGAGGTAGAGACCAGACAGGGTGCCAGAGGGGGCTGCTGGGCACGGTAAGACAGTACAGAAGCTAGCAAGGAGAGGACCCCCAGAGGGGTCTGCCAGGGAGATTGCAACCGGCCGACAGAGCGGCGTAAGAGTGGTGTGGTCTCGAAAGAAGGAGCGGGACGCACCCGAGTCAAGGGTGAATGTGTGGAAGGCCTGAGCCGACGTAGTACCTGAGAGAGCAGACTCACCAGTACTTGGGGCAGCAGGCGCAGTGGCACCTGGGGCAGCAGATGCATTGGCACCTAGAGCAGTGGCCTCAATGCCCGGGTCAGGCGGTACACACAGGTAACAGTCACCCTCAACACTAGTAGTCACAGAATACATGGCAGCAATGATAGCATCATAGTCAAGATCAAAGACGGCAACCCCCGCCCTAGACAGATCTCCCCAGCGAGGGATCTCTGACGCCTCAGGGAACTGGCGACGCCACGCGTCCGTCAGGCGACCGAAGCAGCGCTCGATGGAGTGCGGGCCTCCGCACTGCTCACCAGCTCGGTCGCCGGTACGAAGGACGTAAGTGCAGGGACCAAAACCCCCACCGCGCTGACGCGCAGTGTACCACTCACAAAGCTGCTAAGGGGACAGGGTCACACCACTCCGCTGCTGGTGGCGCGGAACACCACCTGAGCCACTCCTCTGCGCAGAGTCGCGACCCGCTCCACCGCCACCGCCGCCGCCGCCGCCTCTGTCGCCTCCTCCACCTCCGCCTCCTCCGCCACCTCCGCCGCCTCCGCTCCCTCCGCCACCACCACCGCCTCCGCCGCCTCCACTGCTGCCGCCGCTGCCGCCACCCCCGGCACCACTCCCACCACCACCCCCACTCCCTCCACTGCCTCCACCACCACCTCCACCGCCCCCTCCAGCCCCTCCAGCGCCCTTGCCTTCCTTGCCCTTGCCGGTGCGGCGTCTCTCGCTCGGGGCAGACGCAGTGCCGACCGATTCGAAACCAACAAGGTCGGCCGTAGCAGCGGAGGCAACAGAGGGCAAGAGGGGGGAGGGAGAACATCCCTCAAAGACGGGGGTGCGAGGGTCACCACGAGAGGCTCCTACAGCGACTAGACTCTTCTCTACTGCTAGGAGGGCCTTCTCGAGGAGGTCAACGGTGAGAGTGGTGGGGCAAACTGAGAGGAAGTGGTCCCTGACTATGCGGAGAGAGTCAGGGAGCCGGGTGACTATGTAGTAGAGGGTGATGTACATGGGAGGGGGGTTCTTGGCGCAGAACTCAGCAGGAAGCGCAGCGCGGTAGCGAGTGTCACTAGTGCGGAGGTGCATAATGAGGTCAGCGACTGTGGGAAAGGCTGCAAGGTCAGGGAAGAGGTACGATAGCATGAGGCGGCTCAGTGCAGCAGTGGCAGGGGAAGAGTAGCGTGCAACTACAGCGTCGTACAAGGTCTGAGCACTCTTGTACTGGCTAAAGTGCGCACGCTCAGTGGTCGGTAAGTGGCGGCGCATAGCAAGGCGAGCAGCAGCATCACGCGTGGCCCACTGTGAGCGAACAGTGGCGTCAGCATCAGCAGCAGGGGCAGGAGAGGCACCAGAAATGAGGTCAAACAGGGAGAGACCGTCTGCCCTATCGCACTATAGGAAAAGCTGCAGATCATCTACCAAGACCTCAAAGTCAACTGCCCGACCCTCAGCGTCAAAGGTGAGAACACTAGGGGAGGCCATGATAGCAGTAGACAGGCAGTGAGTACAGTGGGGCAAGGCAGTGCTGTGGCAGAGGCGCTGCTCTTACCAGGCAAGTGGGGCGGTCCCGGGCAGGCCGACAGGAGGCAGCGCCTCGGCTGTGGTGCGGCTCGGCGGCTCGGCGGCTTGGCTGCTGGGCGGCTCGGCGGTCGGGCGGCTCGGCTGCAGGGCGGCTCGGCGGTCGGGCGGCTCGGCTGCTCGGCGGCTCGGCTGCTTGGCGGCTCGGCTGCTCGGCGGCTTGGCTGCTCGGCGGCTGGGCTGCTTGGCGGCTGGGGCGCTGGGCGGCTGAGCGGCGACGGGGCAGTGGAAGGGCGGCGATGGGGCCGCTGAAAGGGCGGCGACGGGCCGCTGAAAGGGCTGCGACGTGCCGCTGAAAGGGCGGCGACTGGGCCGTGGAAGGGCGGCGACGGGGCCGCTCAAGGGCGGCGACGGGGCCGCGGAAGGGCGGCGACGGGGCCGCTGAAAGGGTGGGCGGCGACGGGGCCGCTGAAAGGGCGGCAACGGGGCCGCTGGAGGGCGGCGACGGGGCCGCAGAAGGGCGGCGCCGGGGAGGGGGGCCGTGGAAGGGCGGCTATGGGGCCGCGGAAGGGCGGCGTCAGGGCCGCGGAAGGGCAGCGATGGGGCCGCTGTAAGGGCGGGCGGCGAGGCCGTGGAAGGGCGGCGACGGGGCCGCGGAAGGGCGGCGACGGGGCCGCTGAAAGGGCGGCGATGGGGCCGCTGAAAGGGCGACGACGGGGCCGCGGAAAGGGCGGCGACGGGGCCGCTGAAAGACGGCGATGGGTCCGCGGAAAGGGTGGCGACGGGGCCGCTGAAAGGGCGGCGACGGGGCCGCGGAAAGGGGCCGCGAGGGCGGTTCGAAGACGGTCGCGAGGGCGGCTCGACGGGGCCGTGAGGACGGCGTGTCTAGGCCACTAGGGGCCGTGAGGGAAGTCACACGGGGCGCGACTCGGGCAGGGGCCAAGCGCGCTCCGGGCAGGAAAAAAAAGGTCGGTGGGCCCTAGGAACAGTTCCCAAGGGGGAACGTGCTCTATACCTTGTGAGAAATAGAACGAGAATGATTGAACTATGAAACAGTTCTGTACAAGTACTAACCCTAATTGGGTTGTACCCCTTATGGGCTACCCCACTACAGCCTACACAAATGTATAGGCTATAATGTTTTGACATTTCGTGCGGTAACTTGAATGACCTGTTCATCGCGGTTTTTGTTTCCTGTAGGAGCTCCATGAGATAGAGTCCTTCGCAAGCTGCTGCACTTGCTGCGATGAATTCTGCTTCTGCTGACAAAAGGGCGACGAGCTTCTGCTTTAGTGAGTTCCTGGAGATGGTTCATGTAGGCTCGAGTCTGAAGATGAAGCCTGTGTGGGACCTTCTGTTATCTGCATCCCTAGCGTGATCAGCGTCCACGTAGCCGGTGAGCTGTAGGTTAGCCGTTAAGTTCGCTTTGTAGGTGAGGCCGACGATAGGTGTAGAGACGAAGTAATGTAAGGTGCATCGCAGGTCCACCATATTCTCCCCTTCACGTCGGCGCAGGTACTAGGCGAGCTGGCTGGCGATGTAGGATATGTCCGGGCGGCATGTGATAGCGGCGAAGAGTAGGCACCTGAGCTGCTCCAGATAGAGGCGATGGTCGGCGACGGAGAGGGGGGTGGTGTCGGGCTCGTGGTTAGGAGGAGTGTGGAACGGAGTGATGATGCCGATGGGAGCGATGCCGAATTTCTTGGCCAGAGTTTCGGCGTATTTTGCGGCAGAGAGGTGAATCGTGTCGGCTATCTGGGTGATGTCGAGGCCGAGGAATTGAGTGACCTCGAGTTTTTCCTTGATGTTGCGTTCGAAGCCATCCAGCAGCTCTGCGTTATCCCCGGTGTAGAGCAAGTCGTCTACATAGGCGACGAGTAGGATGAAGTTACGGCGGGACTCGAGGCGGTACATCCCCTGATCGTGGGGAAGCATGTTGTTGGGTAGTGCTTTCTAGGAAAGCATGTTGTGCAAGCGAACTGCATGTGCCATCGTGAAGGGCCAATAATTGGTTGGCAAAGCTGAGTGCTTCATGAGGGCTCGCATTTTTGTCGCTAGGCTGAGAGAGTTGAAACGAGAATGGAACGACTAAATGCAAGTTGGGTACAAATACAACCCTAGAAAGCTGTACCCCATATGTGCTACCCCACTATAGCCTACAACAGCTATGTCATACAAATCTGACACACCCCCATAGGCAAAGTGGGGGAGAACAAGGGGTCACAAGACCAGTCAAGCAAAGCAAAGCAAAGCTAAGGGTGGATCACAAAGTCACCACACATTCCGAGCACAAGATCAAGGCCAGACGGCCAGTTCACATGCAGGAGCACACATATATATTTATATAAATATATATATAAGGCTAAACAAGCAAGAGCAGGAGTATATATATGTGACAGTACAAGTAAGGTCAAAAAGTGAGCAAGTGAGGCAAGACAGGCACAAGACCATGCTGAGTACAGAAGCGCTGATGATCACAAGGCGCAAGAGCCTTAGTGAAGATATCAGCAGTGTTGGCCTCAGAGGCCACGTACGCAAGTCGCAACTGACCACGCTGCTGTAGCTCACGAGCAAGAAAGTAGCGGAGAGCAATGTGCTTCGTTCTGTGCTCCAGGCGCTGCTCCCGACATAAGGACAGCATGGCCTTGTTGTCTACGTACAGCACTGGAGGAGAACGAGGCGGCTCTCCGAGGTCAGTTAGCAGGTAGGTGAGCCAGCGTAGCTCCTGAGCAGCCATGGCTCCTGCGTAGATCTCAGCCTCACAACTGGAGCCGGGAACAGAAGACGAGAGAGTAGCCCGCCACGAAACAGAGTCGCAACCAAGGCTGAAGGTGTAACCCTATGACGACCGCTGTGTAGCCTTGTCGTCAGCCCAAGAAGCGTCTGCATGCCTACTGAGGACCACTGGACTCTGCCCTCCAAGCACTAGCCCCATGCCCGACGTACTGCACAAGTAGCGCAACACCCTCTTCGCTGCAGCCATGTGCTCTGGTCTGTGTCTCCAAGGAGCAACATAGCGTGCAAGAATGCTAAGAGGGTATGCAAGGTCAAGTCGTGTGCAGGTCATCAGGTACATGAGGCAGCCAACAAGCTCTGGGTACGGGCCACTCGACTCTACGGACTCATCCGAAGGCAGAGCTGAGAGTGAGTGGCGAGTAGACAGAGGAGTGGCCTGAGGCGAGGAGTACGTGAAGCCGAAGCGCTGAAGGACCTGCTGCACCATGTGTGACTCAGTCAGAGTAATGGTGTGGCGTGCTCTGTCCCGGTTGATCTGCAAGCCAAGGTAGCTGCGCAGTTCACCCAGGTCTGTGCACGTGTGTCTCTTCTGCAGCTCAGACTTCACGTGGGCGAGTCCAGTAGTGCCAGCAGTGGCAAAGACCAAGTCGTCGACGTACACGAGGATATAGAACGGCGGCAAAGAGGTGTCGGTGCGTAGAAACAGCGACGGGTCGGCAGTAGAGGGAGCAAACCCAAGAGCCGCAAGCGTAGTCCTCAGTGTGTCGTGCCACTCACGCGGTGCCTGGCGGAGACCGTAGACTGGCCGTCGGAGGCTCCACTGGGTGCCAGGAGGAAAAGTCACAATGAAGCTAGGTGGACGGCGCAGCCAGATCTCCTCGTGCAGGCTACCCTGCAAGAAAGCAGTGTTGAAATCAAGGGAGTGAAGCTCGTAGTCCCGCTGAGCGGCTATGTGCAGCAGCACCCAAAGAGTGGTCATCTTCGGGGTGGGAGAGAAGGTCTGAAAGTAGTCAACTCCCTGCCGCTAACTGAAGCCACGAGCCACGTACCGCACCTTGAAGACAGGTGGAGAACCTGGCGGCCGCTTCACCCTGAAGATCCACATGCCACTGACGATGTTCGCCCCAGTTGGGGGAACCGCTTCAACGTAGGTACCTGTGGACTTCCAGGAAGCCATCTCTGCATCCATAGTTGCCTGCCACTGAGAGGAGTAGGGACCCTCTACGGCCTCCGCGTAAGAGCGCGGAGTCGGGATGTCAAGTGCATCCGGGTCTCCCTCAGGGGTAAGCAGTACGGACACGAGATAAGGTGAAGCAGAAGCCAGACTGTGAGAGTACGACGGCTTATGCCAGCTATGCTTGCTTGCCTCTACTTTATTATGCTATTTCTAGCATAGGATAATCATATGCATGCATGAATTGCTTGATTTCCTAGGCTAGGTGCTTTCCTATAATTTATTATAGTTATAGCACCGAGCTAGGTTGCGTGCACCGAATTCTGGCCTTTTCGGTTGCCACCAAATCGCCTTCTACCGAATTCGGTAAGGGTCTGTTCGGGATGCTACGCGGCCCGCGGAACCTTCACGTAACACCTGGTTACGGGGCTTTGTGTCGAGCCTATATATAGCCTCGTGTTGTACCCAGGTGATCATTCAATTCGACTCAAATCTCATTCTCTTTTCTGAGCTCAATCCTAGATCCTCACATAGACACTGGAACTCCTCCTGCCTGTCCTCAAAGACGTCTGTGCCAAGGGCTCACTCACCCCCGACGGACGGAGGACAGACAGACGCAGACTCAGCAACAAGACTAGCAGCGTAGTCGAGACGACAC